GTCCCTGGGAATTACTTGGAGCGATTGAGAGGGAAAACACAAAATATACGCTCATGTAGAGCATTCCCGTCGCGTCCCGGAGCTTCCCTTGCGTGAAGAAGGTTACGATCTACATGAAGAAGGAGTCCTACAGTGAAAAACAGATCGTGACGTCCAGAAGATGAACAAGAGCTGAACGAGTGGGCTGCCAACACGTTTGTCCTCGTGATCTCGGTGGAGATGTGATAGCCGAAGCGGATCTGAACAGAGTTCGGGTTAGAAATCCTAGATTAGAAGTTTTGTCATAGCAATTCGGAGAAGGGTGTCTCATCATGTTGTTATGTACCGATGTAACTTGTATCTAGTGATTTAGTGGAGGGCTATTACACGGACGTGGGCCCCGCAGATTAGGAGAGTTTCTCCAAACTACGTAAACATATCTGGTGTTATTTTTACGCATTTTATAGTTACAGCTTTCTGCCCAGTAGGCGCTGTAACGCCCTCTGCGTCATCTGCTTCTGTGTGTGCTTGTGACAGTGCTGCAGAATGTTATCTGCAGCATATCTGGTTTATTTGTTTGCATAGCTCTTGATTGGTGATTTCCGCTGCGCCCCCACGAACTTTCAGTAAATATATTTTGGGCTTTTTAAGTTATTCAAATTTTGTTTGTTTTTTTTTAAAAAAAACTTTTTTGCATAATTAAGAACATTGAGGAAATAATCTCACTTTGAATAGTTACTTGGGGACATTTAGAAAACACTTGACTTACTAGGTTAACCACAGATTAGGACTAAGCCTTGACTAGGCTGGAACACCGCACTAGTCGATACGTAGTTTTACTTCGGATACCTCCCCGTGACCTCGGGTCCAGTAATCAGAAGTGAACCCTAGACCCACGGGGTCATCGTCGGGTTCTCGTGCGCACGTTGTGGTATGATTGTTTATAGGCTCATCCACATGGACACGGTCCGGCCTTGAAAGTGGTTTGACCCACATGATAAAAACGTGACAGTACTTGGTCAGAATACGTCGATATATAAATCTTGAACTTTTACTTAGTCTACTAATTTGTTTGATTAATCTGGTAAAGTCGTTTACATAAATCGTGTTTTTTAATCTCTTAAAAAAACCATCATACGATATTGTCCCCTTTTCATTTTCTAAAACATAATGCAACTTGATCAATTAGACATTCAAAGCGTAAAAACAATTTACAACTCTATTCATTAATCAATCATATACCAATATTTTTAAGAAAACAAACATACCAATTTTTTTATACTTATTGTCACTTACGACATGGAACAAAAACAATTTAAATGGAATCGACAAAAGTTTATCATGACAAATAGAGTTTTATTTTTTTTTGTTTATAAACCAAACTATTTTTTTTTAAACCTTCGACCAGACTGCAGTTTGATCAATCATAACTGTTAAACAAATAATTGAGAGAAAATAGTTCTGTATATTCTATTGTTCTGACCCCATACAAAGAGACCTCTCCCTTATTTATAGAAGGGAATAAACCAACTCCAACTAGGAAAAGAAATAAACTCTAACTAGGAAACTAAAGCATACAAGGAAGTTTAAGCAAATAAGGTAAACCGAATCCTAGTGGGATTCGGCCTTTGTGCGTGATCCGTACGGCAACAATAACCATTGATTATGATTAATCATAATAAAACCTTCGGCCCTTACTATTTAAAAACAAAACTTTTTGTTTTTTTAGAGAAACAAACGGTTTTTTTATTAAACCTACTGCCGAAAGAAAAGTCATCCTACTAATCATTTTTTTTGGTTATCAATTATTTTTTTTAACCTTCGGTTAAAAACTTTTATTATAGAAAAGATAATAGTGGTACCAATAATAATAATACTAACAATAATAATAAGAAAGATAATAACAATGATAATAAAGAATAAAACCGCTGCCGATTGTATAATCACCATACTAATCAACTTTCTTTTTATTATCATTTTTTTCCTTAACATTCGGTTATATATTTTTTTTATATAGAGAATATAATGATGGTACTAATACTAATAACAAATATAATAACAATGATGCTAAAGAATAAAAACTTCATTTATGCCATTACCGAAAGTGTGCAATTGTATAATGACTAGTATCCTCCTCTTTTAATTGATTATCTCAAAGAGTAAATTCATGTTAATACAAATAAAAGGAAATGCACAAAATATATTAACATGAAATATATATCTAAAGGTTAGGGTCAACGGCACACCTTAGCTTCGATATCGGTTAGACAAAACACTAGCTTGATGATGTTGACGGAATGATTTCATGACGACATCTCCCACGTCGATCTCCACCTTGACTATACCGCAACCCATCTTTACATACCTATCAACCCTTTTTTTGTTTTTTTTAAATTTTATCCCCAAGTGGCTATGAGTTTCTCTTCCTAAGGGTCCCTAGCTATTTATAAGGAAAGAAAGTTCTAGAGAATGAATGGGAAGTGAAGGGTTGCCCAATAAACTAAAGAATTTAGTAAATTTTATTAAATAATATATTATTACCAATGTAATAATTGTTGAAGTAAATTTTGTAACCCCATTGTTAAAGATGGTGAAGGGACGTGATTTTGAGTAGGAAATCCAAGGGTTTCCTGCTCCGTTTGTTTAGCATTATGTGTCTGATTTTCACAGTTTCATTTATTAAATATTCCTAGAAAAATATAAAATTTATACCGTTAAGTTCCATATTTTTCACACATCATTTTAACATAATTTGTTTGTCAAGAAAATAGGTTCATTTGAACAAACTATATTATTCAGATAGTAGAGAACAAAAACTAATTTTATTCCCTTTCACTTTATTCTATTTTTTTTCATCTCCACTAGTAATTAATCACTTAAAAATTAAATTCCAAGTTGATTGTTTTTTTAGATAAATAAAAGTAACATTTTTTTTAAAATACTACTCATTTCTTTGTACTAGAAGGTTAAAATTTCTAGACCAGTTTTCAGGGCGTTACATTTCGTGCAGTTCTTGTCCCAGAGAAATGGCCACCAACTGGCCCAGAATGACAGTGTTTGAGTATTTCTTCTCCTTCTTCTTCACTCACGCACCTTCTCACCACCCGGTCTGCATAGATTCGGAATAGGTATGGGTCTTCCCGGAAGTAGTGGTGAGCTTCCCGTTTGAATTTTTTCTTAAGGTGAAAAGAAAGCATGGTAGGCTCGATTTTGTTAGCTAAGTAGTTGGCAATATCGGCATACCACGGTTCCTTTTCATTGATTTTCAGTATTCTCTCAAACGGGAATGTCTCATCCACTTTGCATTCTCCAAATTGATTAGCCACCTCCGTATCGAGACGAGAGAGGTGGTCAGTAGCTTGATTTGCAGACCCTTTCCGGTCCTTAACCTGTACATTGAATTCCTGCAAAAGCAACACCCAGCGTAACAGCCTAGGCTTCGCATCATTCTTCTGAAGTAGGTATCTTAATGCCGAATGATTGGTATAGACAATTACTTCTGAAAGAATGATGTAAGGCCTAAACTTTTCTAGAGCATAAACGATGGCCAAGAATTCTTTCTCAGTGGTTGTGTAGTTCAGTTGTGGTCCCGACAATGTTTTGCTAGCATAGTAGATCGGATGAAAGTTTTTACCCTCTCGTTGGCTAAGAATAGCCCCTACTACTTCATCACTAGCATCGCACATAAGTTCAAATGGTTTGGTCCAATCGGGAGCCACAAGGACTGGTGCAGTGATTAACTTCTCCTTCAAAGTGTTAAAGGCTTTTAGGCATTCATCATCAAAAACAAATTCAATTCCCTTATCTAGCAGGCGGGTTAACGGCTTAGCGATTTTCAAAAAATCTTTTATAAACCTCCGATAAAAACTAGCATGGCCAAGAAAGCTACGAATGCCTTTAACAGAAGTTGGTGGGGGAACTTTCTCGATGGTCTCAACTTTAACCCCACTACGTCAAAAACAGATGCTGACAACTGTTTCTTTTAGTTGTCTAACTGTGTTGGTTTTAGTAGTCTTCCGAGCAGCTGTCTAATATATTTACAGACTACTGTTTAAAAACAATTGTGTAGTGCGGTTGATGACACCTATTTTGTGATCTTCCAGAGTACATGTTTTTGAAGTTGTCCTCGTATGAGTAAGACATCTGTTTTCTAGAGTTAAAGACAATTATGATTTTTTGTTGTCTATCTATAATATATACTACTGTTGTTTTCGACTTCAGACTCCTATTGTTTGGTGTTGTCGATCAAAAATATAGATATCTAATTTCTAAAGTAGTTGAAATATATATCAGACTGCTATTCGGAAGACTACTAAACAAAAATAATATCAGACAACTGTTATCTAGTGTTATATTTCTAAAAATAGACTACTAATTTTGTTGTATGTTAAACAACCGTTTCTTTCAATTGTATAGTGTGCAATAACACTACACTTTGTTGCAGTTGTCCTTAAAATATTCAAACTATATTTTTGAATAGTAGTGTAATTGATTATCAGACAGCTGCTTGGAAGACCACTACAAATATTTTCATCAAACAACTGTTATTTTGTGTTGTATGTACAAATTAAGACTACTACTTTGGTCTTATTTTAAACAACTGTTTGTTTTTGTTGTATAAGGATTATTAACACTATGGTTTTGTTTAAATAATATGCAAACAACTGTTATTTTTTATGATATATGTAGAACGTATAAGACTATTTTGTTTCATTTCAAACAATTGTGTGTTCTAGATGTCTAACAATTATTAAAACTACAGGTTTGTATAGTTAACTGTATACGATTCAAACTATCAAGTTGAATAGTGGTCTAATTGTTTATCCAACTATGATTATTTTGTATTGTCTCATTTTTAATAATTAAAATTTGTTTCAATTATAAAATATTAATCCTAAAACAAAAATAAATTCCAAAAATTACAATACATCGAGTAATATCTAAAAACATACATTCAAAATATTAATATTATCAAATAATTAATATTTACATAAATAAAAGGACATCATAATTGTCCATTGAGCCAACTAAATTAGTCATTTGTTCCCATATCATACTTGAATTGTTCAAGTTGCATGATACTTCATGAAATGCCTTGCAAATTCAATCATTGTCTCATACATGTCATCCCCAATGTAGTAACTGATTCATATCAATAACCTTTATCAACTTCATGAAAGTCTCGCTCTTCTAGATCGACCTAGTAATTGGTTGCAATGAACCTAGTATTAAAAAAAATTAAATTGCATGAATGTGATAACTAAACTTAGTTGTACTTCAAACACCTCTTTCACACACAAACGCATAATATATTGCAGCAATCCCACGCGACAGTGATTCCATCCCATTCTTGCATATGTTGTTCCTCGTCACCGCTATTACCTGGCCCACACAACCCATAAAAAATAAAATAACTAGTAATTGATTAGCATTAATTGCAATAGTAGTTAACATTTGTTCTTGCCTCAGACACATCAAATGCAGACATGAGATACTTGATGCAGGCTGGATAAAGGCCAAATGTCCATCGCTCTAAACGTTCTTTAAGACCAGTAGGATCTGGGAAATGCTCACTCTCGGCTGATCGGTACCATTCATATAGGGTATGATAACCCATGCACCAAACAACATAACATTCCTATGTACATTAGTCCTATGTTCTTTCTAACTGTCAATGAAATATGAAAATAAACAAAAGAATGCAGTCAAAATCTCACTAACCTGATGTGCCGAGTAGATTATGCCTAATACATGTCTCAACACCAAGTTCCAACAAGATTGTGAGGATCAATGCTGGGCAGACACATGAAGAATCCCAATAATCACTCGCTTTTTACGAGATACCTTTGATGGCACAAAACATACTTTGCAACTAACAGTGACATAGTACCGACAGAGGACACATATGACTGACCAAATAGATACATAAATGAATCCTACACCGTACTAAAGAAGCTTCTCAAGTGACCAGAAAAGGTGTCATCCTCTAACAATCTTGTTCACCACAAGTCTCTTTATCTTTTAAGTTTGTACCCTGCAATGATTTGCTCAATTAGCCAAACAAACAAAAGCATTTCCACTATGCTAGATAGTAAAGTTCTTAAAACCTAATAAAAAACATAGATTATTTTCTCTTGTGTATGTATGTGCAATTGCATGAAACCCTCACCTGGCAGGATGTTTTATGCATTAAGCTATCCTTTTTTAGAACATGAATTTCAAGGATTTTACCCTCTTTAGTCTCTTTGCATGTTCTCAACATGACACCATGTGCTACCTTTATGTTGAAATTATTCAAGCAGTTTAAAATAATAATTTATCAAGAAAAGAAGAAACAAGTGCATACAAAAAAGAACAAATTAGCATTTTATTAACATTAAATCTGACTAAGTGGAGTGCACCCTTTTATCTGAGATTATATACACACAAATATAGACATTCTATGTGTATAGAGGTTGTGATGATATCAGGCTACCAAATCTTGGGGCATTTAGAGAACTAAATCTATATCTTGGCAGGGCAGTCACTGTTTTGCAGCCATAGGATACAATTTAAATAATCAATATTAAATGAAGAAGAAGATGAAGAAGACATACCAATTTCAGCAAAATCTATTCCCAAATCAGAAAAGATAAACTCAAAAATGGAATCCTCTATTGAAGTCGATCCTGGAGATCCAAATTTTGCACAAAAAACACAACAAAATCACGGAGGAAGCAGTAGTTTAGGATACTCTGTGAACCGTGTTACGTGAACACTGGCCAGCACTGCAGTTCCTGTAGAGAGAAACTCCCAAACGGAGAGGGTAGACGGCGCCCAAGCAAGCTCGTCACTGCCCAAGCCCGCCCGGATCTGTCCTATCGTTGCTGGCTGTTACTCTGCCGGAGCTGCTGGACTTCGCCGGAACAGAGGTCGCTGGACAGGGGGTTGCCGGCAGAAATCGTCGCTGGTCCACTGTGGTCGGTCACCGGCGTCGCTGCCGGAACTCGCCGTTGGATAGAGCGCTGTCGCTCGGATTTTGGCCAGACGTCGTCGGACGGTCGGAGCTCGCTGGTTCGAGGTTCCCAGATCGCTCCCCGTCGTCGCCTCTGTAGATCGTCGCCGGTCGGACTCTTCCACCTTGCCGTCGTAACCCATGTCTGGAGAAGAGGAGCGAGGACGACGGCGATTTGGATCGAAGCAGGCGAAAGATCCTATATATATATATCTTGGGTTTTGTACTATGTAATTTAAAATAACGCGTCTGAGTAAAACACACTTTTCGGGTGAACTTGCTCCGAATTGAAATCCGTTTGCGTCGTTAGATTCAATTCGTCGATCCTTACCCAACGGTATAACTTTCATAATCAATCAATAAGCATTTATAAGTTCAACCTGGTTTCAGGGCGTTACAGCATTCTAGGACGTCATAGTGTCACCCCTTGACCCCCTGACTCAATTTTAGATTAAATTATTAGATTTCATTTCAAACAAATTATTCAAAACATTTAACATTAATTAATTTTTAATAAAATTAAATCAATCAATATTAGATCTAACTAGAAAGAGTTTTTAAATATAACTAGAATTAGATCTAGCAGATTAGATATAATCAAATAAGATACTTTATGATAAAATCAAATTCAATCAGATCTTATTGCTTGCATATTTCATGTGAGCTACTACATCTCAATTTAACATGTTTATATGTTCTTTAGATGATATCGAATGAAATCAGATCTCATCATATCAAATTAGACTAGATCGAATTAAAAGAGTTTTATACACAACTAATCGGACTAATTAGATCAAATCGGACAAAAACAGATCTAATTGGAATAAATCAAAGTCAAATTCAATAAGATCAGATCAAATCTTCAAAAATATCCAATCAAATCAAATTCAAATCTAGTAAGATCAGATCAAATATTTAAAAAAATCATATCGGATCTATTTAGATTGAATCAAACCAAAATAGATCTAATCAAATCAAATCAATTCAAATATATTAAGATCAGATCAAATCTTAAAAAAACAACTTAATTGACAGTCACCTTTCTCACTAGGTGACAAGGCCACTAGAGGACATAGACAGTCGCCTCGCACCTTCTAGGAACGTGCCCTGACGTGGATGTGCGACGTGTAAAAGTTCTCGTGCACTCTACTATATTTGAATATTAATTGGGCTACCCGTGTTTCCACATATAGTCATTCTGGTTATTTTGTGTGTTTTACCTTTTACTTTCCCGAATCTAGTAAACAATTCGAAACCCGGTCTAGTAATGTTTACCCGGTCAGGTAATTTACATTATCAATACCTGCAATAAAGAGATTCAAATGAGATGAAGAGAGTAGAACGTAGATAATATGGAAAAACTTTAAAAAAATACAAAGAAAAACAAACATTTGGTAAAAAAGTTTATCCTTAGTAATTTTATGGGTTAATAGCATGCTTGCCCCCCGTGGTTTACATAAAGAGCGTCAAAACTCCCTCGGTTTTCAAAAGTTACTTGTAAAGTCCCTATGATTTCTAAATAGAGCACACATGCCCCCTTACTTATTTTGGAGAATATTACAAAAGAAAATGAAAAATAAATATTATGTACAAAGTAAAAATAGTAATTGAAAAATGTAATGAAAAGAAAGAAAAATATAAAAATCGGTCTTTTCTTTAACTCTATTTTTCTTCATTTTTTTGTTCTTCATTTTTAAAGTCCTTAAAAAACTATTTTACTTTTAAAAAATAAATAAGTTAAAATCTTTAATTAGAGATAGAGTGAGTATATGTTCTCTAATTTTTTACTTTATTTATTTTACTTTTACGTTTAATGAAAAAGTGTAGTTTACTTCATTTTTAAATTTTTCATTTTCTTTTGTAACATTTTCTAAAAAAACTTATTTTTTTTGAAAATTAAATAAATGAAAAATTTTAATTTGAGAAAGAGGGCGCATATTTTATTTTATTATTTGTATAACAAAAATGCAAATAAAAAAGTGAAATTTGAAGATAGAGAAAAATAAAGGGCAAAAATGTCATTTTATGTCTAAAAATAGGCAAGAGGGGGCGCCTTTGCACTATTTAAAAACCACAGGGGTTTTACAAATTACTTTTGAAAGTAGAAGGGGTTTTGGAAACACAGTAGTTTAAAAAAAACAGACGACTGTTGATTAAGTCCTGAATGAAGAAATTCTACCCGTTGGTAAGGAAAAATCAATCTCTTGATTTTCAACGACTAGATTGAAGATATTTATACTGATTCAAGAACAAATGACTCGAAGACAAAGTCTAGCCCTCTAAATTGAAGAGCCTGTCCAGAATTCCTAAACAAGCACAAGAAGACAAACAGAGTAAAGTGCTACAGTTCAGAATTCTTGAACAACAGCTAGAAGACGGATTCTGTAAAAAATGGAATCACTTCTCAACAATTGGGTACGTCCAAACACCCACTTCAACGAAGAATCTTCAAATCACAATCTTCATACAAAATTGAAGCCAGCAAATGCAACGGATAGTCTATTATGATTCAACGGATAGATTATCCAATCCAGCTATAAATAGCATCCTTGGAAGACTGGAGAAGATATGAATGAGTGAAAATATTTGAACGAAGCAATCTCTAACAACAAAGCAATCTCATTCACAGTTAGCCCAAAAAGCTTGATAAAGAGAGATTTCTAAACTCCTTATCCAGAAGCAAACTCCTCCTCCTTCCAAAGAGCTATAGTGTAAACACTTGAAGGTTTTCTTGCCTCAAGTACCACACTACGTTGAAGGATATTACTTTTGATCAAACTTATTGATTAAAAGGGGGTAGGTCAACTCTCTTACAAGTTGATCTTGCAAGTCCTATTGTTCGGACATTGCAGTTGTTGAAGAAGCGTTACCTTCGAAGGAACAACAAAGCCAGCACGAGTGCAGTAGCAACATTGGTCTTGCGAAGATATACCGTGCAGAAATTCACACAAGTGTAATTGTTGGTTCATTATTCAACAACCAACTACATAGTGGATTTTGAGGACGTAGAAGGATTACCCACCTTCGAACCTCGTTAAAGTTTGCGTGTCTCTCTCTTTTATCTTTATTCTTACTTGCAACTACATTAACTGTGAAAACTAACCCATCCATATTGATTACTGCTTACTCTACCCACCAAATTCCGCACACAATCTAAAGTTCACAAGAACTCTAGATTAACACTTATTTTCACGTTTTTAAAAGAAACGAAAAAGATTTTAAATCTGTAACAAAGTCTATTCACCCCCCCCTCTAGACTTTGTATTTCACCACTTTGGGACCACCAGGAAATTTCTTCACTTGGCATAAAGGGAACAAGCTTGCAAAGCTGGATAGAGTGCTTGCTAACCAATCCTGGGGAGACATTGGTTTGGCTCCAACATGTGAATTTCTGGATTTCAACTTCCTCTCTGACCACTGCCCCACCCTTTTACAGTGTGGTGCACCCCTTGGTAACAGGTTCAGGCCTTTCAGATTCTTCAATATGTGGCTAAAGCATGAGGGCTTCAATGGGTTGGTCTCCCAGTCTTGGGAGGCAGATGTGGTTGGCTCTAAGCAATTCTCCTTATGCTCTAAACCTAAACGCCTCAAACCTCCCTTAAAATCCCTCAACAAGCAGGCTTTTGGTCATATTTCTAGAAGAGCTATGGAAGCTAAGGAAGAGTATGGATTGGTGATGAAGCAAGTGGTCCTGGACCCTAATAATCAAAGCCTTCTTGATGATGCTGATATCAAAAGGAAGAGAGCTAATTTCCTCCTTGATGCTGAATTGGCCTTCTATCAACAAAAAGCCAAATGTGATTTCCTTATGAATTCTGGCAGATGCACCAGTTACTTCCACTCCATTGTTAAGAAGAACAGGAGGAAAAACACTGTTGGGTTCTTGGTTAGAGAGGATGGATCTAAAACTACTTCCAAAGATGAGGTGGCTAATATCTTTGTGGACTACTTTACTACACTGTTTGGCACTACTTCTTCAGTTGAATCCATTGAGCTGGAGATTTTGGCTGCTGGAACCAGAATTCCTTCTTCTGCCCAGGCAACTCTCCTTGCTTCTGTTACACCTGAGGAGGTGAGGGAGGCTGTCTTTGACATTGGTAATGACAAGGCTCCGGGTCCTGATGGATATACTGCAGCCTTCTTCAAGGATCAGTGGGCTGTTGTGGGTAGGGACATCTATGAAGCTGTGTTGGAATTCTTCACCTCAGGGAAATTATTGAGACAGATTAATCATGCTATGATTGTTCTCATACCTAAATCTTCCCATAATTCAACTGTTAAAGATTTTAGGCCCATTGCCTGCCTCAATGTTCTTTACAAAGTCATCACCAAGATTTTGGCTAAGCGTATGGCTCCTTTACTCCCTGATTTGATTGACCCTGCACAAGGGGCCTTTGTCCCAGGGAGATCTCTTGTGGATAATTTCCTCCTTGCTCAACACCTTATCAGGGATTATGCTGTTAAGTGGTCCACGCCTAGCTGTTTGATCAAATTGGATATCACCAAGGCCTATGACACTGTCTCTTGGAGTTTTTTGCAGGATGTGATGCATGGTTTGGGCTTTCCCCCTAGATTTGTCTCTCTTATTATGGAGTGTGTTTCCTCTGCTTCTTCTTCTATTATGGTTAATGGAGACAGCCATGGCTTCTTTCCTAGTCAGCGGGGGATTAGACAAGGGGACCCCATGGCTCCTACCCTTTTCCTCTTTTGTATTGAGTACTTCTCTAGGTTACTCAACAAAAGGGCTAAAGAAGGTGGCTTCAACTATCACAAGGACTGTGCAGCACTTGGGATTACGCATTTGGCTTTTGCTGATGATCTTATGCTGTTCTCTAGAGGGGATTTTCATTCTGTGCAGGTTTTAATGGATGCTCTGGACCACTTTTCAAGGGTGTCTGGCCTAACCCTTAATCCTACCAAGTCCAACATCTTTCTTGCTGGTAAATACAGGGATGCTAGCCAAAATATTCTGGATCTTGCCTCCTTTCCTCGTGGTCAGCTCCCTGTTAGATATCTGGGTCTCCCTTTGGCCTCTCAAAGGATCTCTGAGAGTGATTTTGCCCCTTTGTTCAAAACTGTTGATGGTTTTCTGTCTAAATGGAGCACTTTGAAGTTATCCTATGCTGGCAGATTGGAACTGATTAGAGCAGTGGTACAGGGAGTCCAATCCTTCTGGCTCCAGGCCTTCCCTGTCCAGAAATATGTGCTTGACCGTATCACCTCCATGTGCAGAGCCTTCCTTTGGGGCAGCAAACTTGCCAAGGTTGCCTGGGTTGATATTTGCAAGCCAAGGGCTGAAGGTGGACTGGGTTTGAAGGATGCCAATACCTGGAACAATGCTCTGTTGTGCAAACTTCTGTGGAACTTGGCAGCTAAGAAGGACACTCTTTGGGTCAAATGGGTTCACAATGTTTACATTCAGGGTGAGAACCTGTGGCAGTGGCAACCCAAGAAGAGACACTCTGTCTTCTTCAAAAGGCTTGCATATGTACGTGAGCTTTTGGTCCAAAAGCTTGGTGACCATTATCCTTCTATGGAAGAGGCTATGATTCCCTTTTCCTTGGCAGGTAACCTCATTCCAAGAAAGGTTTATGATTTGTTTAGGGTTAAAGCAAACCCGAAGCCTTGGATGGCTTTCATTTGGCAAAGCTATATTCCCCTTAAGTGCTCCTTTACGATGTGGCTGGCACTTAGGAGGAGGCTGCCCACCAAAACAAATTTGGAATTCCTCGGTTTACCTATGGACTGCACCTTCTGTGGACATGGGTTGGAAGATGTGGACCACCTGTTCTTTAGCTGCCAGTTCTCTAAAGAAGTTTGGGACAACATCAAGACTTGGCTAGGTATGGAAGGACACCTGAGCACCCTCACCAGAACCATCAGATGGCTGAAGGCTTTTAGGCGAGGGGATGGGATTCTCAAGAAGGCAAGAAGGACTGCTTTTGCTTGCAGTGTTTTCCACCTTTAGAAGCTACGTAATGCTGCCCACTTTGAGCGTGAACCTCTCTCTGTTGCGGCTGTGACTTCTAAAATCAAGGTTATGGTTTATTCTATCCTAGGAAGGATGTGGCCTTTGTACTCTGTAACCTTCTGATGTTTGTTTGCTTCTTGTCCTTGGCGTTTGTGCCTATGTTTTGTTTGTTGTCTTGTTGATTGGCTTGTGGACTTTTGGTGTTGTTTATTTATGGATTTGGAAACTGCCATTTCCAAGCTCGGGTATGCCCGTTCTAGTTGTACATTCTTATTCTTTTTTCTATTTACATTTTTATCGAGAGATGCATCCAAATTTGTTTTTCTAAAATCAATTGATGGTGGAAATGTCATATTTGGCGACAACAACAAAGGAAAGATCATTGGAACTAGAACTGTTGGAAAAAACAAAGCTTCCAGAATTGAAAATGTGTTGTTGGTCGAAGGCCTCAAGCATAATTTGCTTAGCATTAGTCAATTATGTGAGAAAGGTAACCGTGTTATTTTTACTTCTAATCATTGCATGGTCGAACGCCTTTGTGATAACAAGATTATCCTTACCGACGATCGCATAGATAATATTTACATGATCAACCTTGAAATTACTCCAACGGACTTTGCTCATTGCCTCATTACTAAAGGGGAAGAGATGTGGCTATGGCATAAAAGAATTGGTCACACCAATATGGAACTAATTAATAAATTAGTTTCAAAAGACCTAGTAATTGGTGTTCCTAAACTCTAATTCAAAAAGGGAATTTGTGATTCATGTCAAAAGGGTAAACAAGTAAAAACCTCTTTCAAATCAAATAAAGTTGTTTCTACTTCTAGACCATTGCAGCTTTTGCACATTGATCTCTTTGGACCTTCTCGAACTATGAGTTTAGGTGGTAATTACTATGCCTTGGTTATTGTTGATGACTACTCTCGTTATACATGGACCTAATTTCTTTCTCACAAAAGTAATGCACCTTCAGCTTTTCGCAAATTCACTAAGAAGGTTCAAAATGAAAAAGGTTGTAGCATTGTGGCCGTAAGAAGTGATCATGGGGGAGAGTTTGATCAAATTGGGTTTGATACCTATTGCGATGAAGTAGGCATTGCACATAACTTCTCAGCCCCAAGAACGCCTCAACAGAATGGCATTGTTGAGCGGAAAACCCGATCTCTCAAGGAGATGGCGAGAACTATGCTTAGTAAGGCTAACATACCTAAGTACTTTTGGGCGGATGCAGTGAGTACTAGTGCTTATATTCTCAATCGTGCGATTATAAGACCTACACTCAATGCTACTCCGTACGAATTGTATAAGGGTAGAAAGCCTAATCTCTCACATCTTCACATCTTTGGTTGCAAATGTTATGTTTTGAATAATGGAAAAGATAATTTAGGACCTTTTGATGCCAAGTCAGATGAAGTAATTTTTATAGGTTATTCTTTGACTAGTAAGGCCTACAGAGTTTTCAACAAACGTACCTTAGTTGTTGAAAAATCTGTGCATGTGGTATTTCATGAGAATAATGCTCGCTTGTCGAGAAGGGTATCTTGTGATGATCTTGCAGGTTCACTTGAGAAAATGAATCTTGAAGAAGGTGAATCTAGTAAGACTAAATCTGAAAAACAAGAAGATGTTGAAGAAAAAGTTGAGGACAAAAAGGATGAGCATATTGCAAATGAGTTACCACCCGAATGGAGAACTTCAAGATATCATCCTTTAGACAACGTGATTGGTGAAATCTCCAAAGGGGTAACTACTCGTAGCTCATTACGCAATTTAGTTAATCATATGACTTTTGTATCTCAAATAGAACCTTCTACCATTGATGATGCCATTAATGATGAGTACTGGACTATGGCCATGCATGAAGAGTTGGATCAATTCAAACGTAATGACGTTTAGGAGGTTGTGCCTAGACCACGTAACCATTCTATTATTGGTACCAAATGGGTATTTAGAAACAAACTCGACGAAAATGGTATTATCACTAGAAACAAAGCTAGGCTTGTAGCTAAAGGCTACAATCAACAAGAAGGTATAGACTTTGATGAGACTTATGCCCCTGTAGCGAGATTAGAAGCCATTAGATTACTACTTGCGTATGCCACTACTATGGATTTCAAATTGTATCAAATGGATGTCAAGAGTGCTTTCTTGAATGGTTTTATTCAAGAAGAAGTGTATGTCGAACAACCTCCGGGATTTGAGGACTTTGAGTACCCAAATCACGTGTTCAAACTGAAAAAGGCTCTATACGGACTTAAACAAGCCCCAAGAGCTTGGTATGAACGTTTGAGTTTGCATCTCTTGGAGAATGGATTTCAAAGAGGAAAGGTAGACACCACACTTTTCATTAAGCATAATGATCTTGACATGCTTTTAGTACAAATTTATGTTGATGACATTATTTTTGGTGCTACTAATGATCTTATGTGTGAGGAATTTACTAAGATTATGCAAGGGGAGTTCGAAATGTCAATGATGGGAGAATTAAATTTCTTCCTCGGTCTTCAAATTCGACAACTTGAACATGGGACGTTTCTTAGCCAAACAAAGTACTCAAAAGAACTTCTCAAGAAATTTGAGATGGAAGATTGAAAAGAAATGCTACCCCAATGAGTTCTCAATGTTCACTTGATAAAGATGAAAGTGGTAAGTCGGTTGATGTGAAACAGTATCGAGGTATGATAGGTTCTTTACTTTATTTAACTGCTAGTAGACCTGATTTGATGTTTAGTGTTTGTATGTGTGCTAGATATCAAGCGACCCCTAAGGAATCTCATTTGACCACTGTCAAACGGATCCTTAAGTATGTGAGAGGCACCTTGAACTGGGGACTTTGGTATCCCAAAGGTTCAACATGCACACTTGTTGGGTAATCTGATTCTGATTTTGCTGGATGCAAAATGGATAGAAAGAGTACGAGTGGAACCTGTCACCTTTTTGGTTGTTCTCTTGTTTCTTGGTTTAGCAAGAAGCAAGTAAGTGTTGCTTTGTCCACCGCCGAGGCCGAGTATGTCGCTGCGGGGAGTTGTTGTGCACAAATCCTTTGGATGAAACAACAACGTTTGGACTATGGCCTTGTACTTACTTGATCACATTCCTTTGCGTTGTGATAATATGAGCGCCATAAATATTACGAAGAATCCAGTTCACCATTCTCGTCCTAAGCATATAGATATTCGACATCACTTTATTAGAGACCATGTCCAAAAGGGTGATGTTGACATTGAGTTTGTCGATACAACTAATCAGTTGGCCGACATATTTACTTAACCCTTGGACCGTGAGAATTTCAGTCGTATTAGAAATGCCTTAGGAACTATTGCTATTAACTAAGTTTTTTTTAATTATTTTCATGTTAATTGATTGAATTTTGTACTAACTTAGGCATTGGAGTGGTTTTTAAGTCTTTTTTGCAGGTCTCTGTCCATCCACTCCTCTTCCGCACTCCATAGAAAGCATTTATTAAGGGGGAATTTTGGTTTGGATATAGAGAGTTAATGGTTGAAGATTCTATCATTGATTCTAAGGTATCTGCTGATTTATTCGAATAATTACATATTTATTCAAATAAAACCCTGACTGGATATTATTCTTTCCGAGGCTACAATTTTTTAGTCGACTAAAAGTGAAACTAGTCGACTAGTTCTGGGCTCCTCAGATTTGCTTTGCTCTGGTTTATTCGACTAGTTCCAGATATATTCAACTAAGTTACTGTGCCAGGGTTCCTTTGTTCAGACTTATTCGAATAAGTTGTCTTTTATTTGAATAAATGAGATCAAATTTGTTGACCCAATCTATTCAAATTCCAGTCCACTTGTTTTCCCAACCTTATCTCAAAACCTTTTTCTTCTTCGCCACACCTCCTCCTTGCGTTCTTTCTCTTCCTTTCCGCACAGCAACTCACTCACAGCGAGAAACTTCTTCTTCCTTGCCGACCTCACCGCTGTGCTCTTCTCTCGCCATTGTCACGCAGCCGCCGCCTCCAATACATCACCCCAGGGCACACATCGCTGCCATGTAAAAACCCTAGGCGAAGGAGAAACGTCGATGTTCTTCGCCGTGCGCAACCCTAGGCTTCTTCGTCGCTGTTCCTCGCCACTTCCTTAAGGACGCAGGCTCCTAATCTTCTTGGTGGTCCCAAAGTGGTGATATACAAAGTCTAGAGGGGGGGGGGGGCGAATAGACTTTGTTACAAATTTAAAACTTTTTCGTTTCTTTTTGAAAACATGAAAATGAGTGTTAATCTAGAGTTCTTGTGAACTTTAGATTGTGTGCGGAATTTGGTGGGTAGAGTGAGCAGTAATCAATATGGATGGATTAGTTTTCACAGTTAATATAATTGCAAGTAAGAACAAAGATAAAAGAGAGAGACACGCAAACTTTAACGAGGTTTGAAGGTGGGGTAATCCTTCTACGTCCTCAAAATCCACTATGTAGTTGGTTGTTGAATAATGAACCAACAATTACACTTGTGTGAATTTCTGCACGGTATATCTTCGCAAGGCCAATGTTGCTACTGCACTCGTGCTGGCTTTGTTGTTCCTTCGAAGGTCAAGCTTCTTTAACAATTGCAAGGTCCGAACAATAGGACTTGCAAGATCAACTTGTAAGAAAGTTGACCTACCCCCTTTTAATCAAGAAGTTTGATCAAAAGTTATATCCTTCAACGTGGTGTGGTACTTGAAGCAAGGAAACCTTCAAGTGTTTACACTTTAGCTCTTTGGAAGGAGGAGAAGTTTGCTTCTGGATAAGGAGTTTAGAAATCTCTCTTTATCATGCTTTTTGGGCTAACTGTGAATGAGATAGCTTTGTTGTTAGAGATTTCTTCGTTGTGGTTTTCTATCTCATGGGTTGTATATTTCGTGTTCTTATTTTCTCCAGTCTTCCAAGGATGCTATTTATAGCTGGATTGGATAATCTATCCGTTGAATCATAATAGACTATCCGTTGCATTTGCTGGCTTCAATTTTGAATGAAGATTGTGATTTGAAGATTCCTCGTTGGAATGGGTGTTTGGACATACCCAATTGTTTGAGGAGGGATTCCTTTTTCCATAGAATCCGTCTTCTAGCTGTTGTTCAAGAATTCAGAACTGTAGCACTTTACTCTGTTTGTCTTCTAGTGCTTGTTTAGGAATTCTGGACAGGCTCTTC